GTGAGAATGATAATGAAACAGAGAGAGAGAGAGCGAAACAGAGAGAAAGAGAGGGAGAACGATAGTGAAACAGAGAAAGAGAGAGAGAGAGCGATAGTGAAACAGAGAGAAAGAGAGAGAGAACGATAGTGAAACAGATAGAGAGAGAGAGAGAGAGAGAAAGAGAGAGAGAACGATAGTGAAACACACACAGAGAGAGAGAGAGAGAGAGCTAGTGAAATAGAGAGAAAGAGAGAGAGCTAGTGAAATAGGGAGAAAGAGAGAGAGAAAGAGAGAGAGAACGATAGTGAAACAGATAGAGAGAGAGAGAGAAAGAGAGAGAGAGAAAGAGAGAGAGAACGATAGTGAAACAGATAGAGAGAGAGAGAGAGAGAGAGAGAAAGAGAGAGAGAACGATAGTGAAACAGAGAGAGAGAGAGAGAGAAAGAGAGAGCTAGTGAAATAGAGAGAAAGAGAGAGAGCTAGTGAAACAGAGAGAAAGAGAGAGAGAGAGAACATTTAAAAGACAAAAGGCACGGCGAAGAAAGCTGCTAGATAGAGAGGAGCCTCGAGTCGCGAGCGTACAGGAATTAGTGCTTCCGTTTTCGATGGAAAATAAAGAACATAAGAGCCGGGAGTCGGTTTTGTTTCTTCCAAAACGGTGAATGGGGTGAACGGCTCATTGTCGGGGGCGCATTTGAATGCGACGGATCATTTCGAGATAAGATATTCGAATGTTTACCGAAAACAATGCCAGCCTTCGTAGTTAATGCAGAGGCTGCAGAAGTGTCCGGAATTAGCGTGTAGTAGCAGCAGCAGCTTGGCAACAGCCTAATTGGATTCGGTTTATTCGGCTGCTTTCGCATTACGTTGTAATACGGGCTTATGCTTTGTTTTTGACGTAACAGCTGCTGCGGGTTCCTGGTAAGCTGTGTTCTCCTTAGAATTTCGCGCGGGGACGCAGCAATTTAACACTGTTTCGCGCGAATCTCGTGTTTTGAGAATCTGCAGACGGTTCTGGTGCGGCCACTCTGAGAAGAAGGAGAGGTTCGGGTTTGAGAATGTTTTCTGCTTTCAGCGTAAATGATGTTCGATTTAACTTTCGTCGGAACATAACACCGAGTATCTGCTAAACTAATCAATTTTCGACGTAAACAGGCGAACGCCGAAAATTCTCCAGCTGCGAAAAAATTACTACGTGCACATTATATCAGGGGGGCCGGAAAGTTATGTCGTTTGCTTACATTAAATTCAAACAGATAAATATGCGCAGAAACGACATTACTTTCCGGTCCCCCTAATACATCTCTCTGAACTGAAAAACTTTAGTTCATAAAGCTTTTCGATATCGCCAAAAATAACAGAGGCACTTAGGCGGCCTCCTTTAGCCGAGACACCCTGTATATTAGCAGATGTTGCGTGAAGTTTTATTTCACTTTCGAACGTCTTTCTCGAAAACTTCATTACACGCATGTCCGACTAGAAATACCTAAATTTTAATAATCGAAAATTTCGTATAGCGGTTTCATCTACGAAACAACAAGTTGCGTTCGGTACTTTTAATGCAATAACCTCAGGCTATCACTTCGAACGAAGATGATGAAGTTTCCTTTAGGATACAGTAGAGTCATTAAAAGACCTATTAGCAGTCATAATTGAATGATATTAGGCTCGAAGTTAAGTATAACACCGCTACATGATATTTTATACGACGGAAGTTTCAAATCAGCATCGCGCGGAACGCAACGTTTAATATGAAATAGTTAGATCAGAGTTCCCGTGACCGAATACCATAATTTTATAACGCCACATCTTGTTTAGCAGTCGAAATGACATAAATTGCGCGCGTCGAACGAAATCATTACGACCGTGCATTAACTATTTTCAACTTGATTCAATATTATCGATTAATGTATCGCAGGGTATCGATCTGATTTCGACTGATTTAATGCGATCAGCACCGAAGTAGTTGCCCCGTGTGCAGACGCTAAACGGCCGCTTCCTCGTTTAATACATATAAATGAGTTTTCTTAATTATCCGAAAGTCAGTCGCGCCGGGATTCTGTTCTCTTCTGTTCGAACCGGTGAAAAACAACACGATAATCGAGAAAGCGACATACTCTGTTGAACAGTGTTCTGCAATTAGTATGCCGCGCTGTCGTCATTCCGATACGACGATTCCGATAGAACGATCGTAAAACGAAGAACGCAGTTTGATATTCACAACTTGTTTACGTGCCTGTAAAACTATGCAAACTCATATTGCTGCCAGAAAGTTTTATTATCACACCGCGCATTCGGCGAGTTTATGGCATTTTTTAATCGTCCGACACTGGGCGCGGACAAATTTTTCGGAACGGTCGTAAAGACTGCTACTTAAAATATCTCGAAATGGTCAAGTTATGTTACTCGCTTGAAAATGTGATAAAATCGCTGATTAACTAAAGCGTTGGATGCCGGAGTCAGTTCTGACGTTAGTCAGAATTTTAGTTTTTCTTTTTATATACATTTATTTATCAGTTTATAAAAATATATGTTATATATCTTTATTTATATTTATATTTTATTATTATCATTTGTTATTTATATTTTATTTACATATTATATATATAAATGTATATGTTATATATTTTTATTCTTCGGATCATTTGAAGCAACTTCTTCCTTTACAAAAATGTTCTCCGAGGCACCGTTAACGAGTTATCAACGATAAACAGTGACCAATGAGAGGCGAGCTCGGCTGGCGCGAGGCGGCCCAGCCAAGCAGCGCGCGAAGCCCAGTTCCGCTCATTGGCTCGGTCGCCTCGCGCCAGCCGAGCTCGCCTCTCATTGGTCACTGTTTTCCGTTAATAACTCGTTAACGGTGCCTCGGAGAAAATTTTTGTAAAAGAAAAAGTTGCTTCAAATGACCCGAGGAACCCGCCACT